CAACTGGCCCGTTCGAGCCTTTAAGAACCGCTAGTCTCAAATTCCTGACATATAAGGTGGTCTTCTTAATTGCGATCACATCAGCAAGGAGGATTTCTGAATTGGCAGCATTGTCGATGAGAAAGGACCTGTGCGTGTTTCATGCGGACAGAGTGGTTCTCAGATTGCATCCATCGTTCACCCCTAAAGTAAATTCAGTCTTCCACAGAGCGCAGGAGTTGGTGCTTCCAAATTTTTGTCCAAAACCATCTCATAGACTGGAGCATCAATGGCATTGACTTGACGTTCGAAGGGCATTAAGCATCTATCTAGACCGCACGGCGGCATTTCGAAAATCTGAGGCTCTATTCCTATCCTTCAACCCATCCACTTTAGGACACAAGGTGTCGTCGACGACCATTGGTAGATGGTTGAGAGCCACCATAGCTAAAAGTTACGAATACCAGTCCATCTCAGTTCCTAAGGGCATTACAGCCCACTCAACAAGGAGTGCGGCAACATCAGCAGCATGGGCCACACGGGCTTCCATAGATGAAATTTGCAGAGCGGCAACTTGGGCTTCACCATCACCCTTTGTCAGAAATTATAAAATTGTTGTTTATGCCTCAGCGGACGCTTCATTTGGCAGAAGAGTCCTGCAGAGGGTCCACAGAGTTTAGGAGTGGATTTCGATCCAGACGGAGTCCCTCCCTAAGGACAGGCCAAGCTTTGGTATGTCCCACTTCTGGATGCTCTGAACAGCTCATGGGAGAAAGGGCGTTGGTACTTACCTTTTATCTGGCCATTCCATGTGATCCCCTTGAAATGGGCCACTTGGGACAGTAAATCCAACGGCCAGTGCAATATAAAAATTCACTTAAAATGATTGTTGAAGATATCTGTCTAAGCTCCATTGAATATATTCAGGAAAAAGTCTTTTCCATCACTCATTCATTCATTCATTCATTCATTCACGTATAGAGGAAATGTATGTGTCATAGCTAAAAATAGCATTGACATTCATACTGAAGAATCTTGTTGACAGTATTTATTACAGAGCAGTGTTTGTCAACATGTGAAATCACAATTATTGGTCAGCCTATGTTGAAAAATAATACAATATTAAACAATACAAATAATAATCCCATAAAACAATTGTGAGAAGAGGTAGCAGCAGTGAAGTTTGAATGCATCAGTTTTAATTTTTAATACAATAAAGTTAATAAATATTACCCATACAAATAAAATCTCTTTGGGGCAACTCTGTAAATTTTAAAAGTGGAAAGGGATCCTGGCGAAAAAAGTTTAAGCAACACTGCCATAGAGAAAATATTTTATTTCGTGTGTTTGTGTGTGATTATATACAGTTGCCTAACTATGATAAAAGAAAGTCAGATTCGAATAAAAATAGGAGCTGACATCTATACTCTTTTGCAGAGGCTTCTATGAATACATTTAATATTAACAGAAAATTGGCATTTTGCTAGGTTGCCCATGTACTTGTTGTGAACATCTTACAGTTTGGGGGTAGAGACAGAGCTATGGCATAGGGTTGCTATGACAGTGAGATGGGCAGCATATTAATTGAATAAATAACTTTTAATCTCGACCTTTTCCTTGGTGTTTTCACCATGATTTCTGCTCTTTTTTGCAAAAGAAGCTAATTAATTAATCAGAAGCTAATTTTGTTTTCTACCTGGATTGTCCCAAATGTTAGCTTTAAAATGTATATGAGTGAGTGATTTGTGGCATCATTTTTTCCCCTCTGGCTTCTCTTTTGATATCCTGGAATAAATCTTCAGAAGAATATCCCTTTGAACTATTGAGAAGGAACCTGAGCAACCACAGTCGTGTCCTCTTTGTGAACTTTGGAGCAGCATCTGGTCAATGAACACTAGGCTAAGCAAAATGACCGAACCAGAGTTAACAAAACCCCATTGTCATATCCACACAATATTATGAGCTCTCCCCAAACAAAGCAAATTGACCTAGTTCACACAGCATGCTAACCAATTGAAATTTCATTTAACTGGTCCAGGATCTTTTCTTGTTTTTTATGCAGCGCTGCTATCTATGAACATGACTACCAATAAAGGAGAATATTTGTAGCTCAGAGTTGAAAAGAGGGGTCCTTGGTGTCTCTCTGAGTTTGGTTGTTTTCTTCAGATGTTTCATTAGGCAGCATCATGAGTGCTAGTGAGGAGTGGGGTTTGCTGTCAGTTTGGCAATTCCTTGAGATATTATTTTCTTCTTGATTGTTGGTCTGAGGTTAATCTTAGAATTAATCTATGGTCATTTGGGTGCTGATTACTGGTGGGGGGGTGTTTTGTTCTTTTTGTTCCCCCTTTTGGCTTGTTGGTTGTCTCTTTTGCATGGTCTGTAGATATTGTTTATGTCTATCTGTTTATCGATGGCTAACTTGTCAGCATGCCAGGCTTCTAGAAATTCCCTAGCAATTTGGACTTGGCTTGGTCTAGGATGGTCACAGTTTCCCAGTTGAAATTATGGTTAAGTCTGTCCACAGGTTGTGAAATTAAAGAGTTTTCATCATGTCTTCTGACTGCTACTTGGTGTTCATGGATGCATTTTGCCAGTCTTGTGCCTGTTTATCCTACTTAGTGGCTGTTTCAATTATTAATTATACTGTATGTTCTAGATGATTCCTGTTTTTTTCTTCTGGGGTTGCTGGGTCTTTTGGTTTATTTGGCATGCTTTCGTTAGCTTGTGTGCTACACTGATTTCATGTAGTTGTTGGTTTCTGAGATGTTCTTGGTATACGGCAGTATTATTTTTTACAGCTTGTTTTGGTTGAGTTATATTGGGTTGAGTGATCAGGCACTTTTTAATAAAATTGCGTAGATATCCATTTTGTTGGAAGATAATGTATAGATGCACTGCTGGTTGCTATAGTGAGTTTGTACTGGTCTAAATAAAGTTCTTACCTAGCTTCTCTTGCAAAACATTGGGCTATTGCTTTGATAGTGGAGCACTTAGTTGGTGTGGGTGGTTTTTTGGTACATTTGTGTTTCTAGTTTGCCATCATGCTCTTTGCTGATCAGGATGTCCAGAAAGGGTAGTGAGTTGTTGCTTTCTTCTTCTGTAGTAAACTGGATTCCTTTAAAGATGTTGTTGATGGTTTTGTAGGTTCTCTAAATGGTCCTTCTTATTATATTGAAGGTATCATCTATGTATCTGATTCATATTGTGGGTTATATTTATGGAAATGCCATTGCTTCTATAATAAGTCCTGAAAGTGGTGATCCCATATATGTACCTTTAATTTGTTGATAAGTTTGTCCATCAGATTTGAAGTATGTGGTTAGGCAGAGGTTTATGAGATCCATAATCCTGGGTGTTTCAGACTTTGTGTATTTGGTAAACAGGTGTGCTGTGGAGCAATGTGGTCATAGATTCTTTGGCTAATTACAAATCAATCAACATGAAAAGAGCTGTGACATAAAATGAGACCATGATTTTGTCATCCTCTATTGTCATGTCTCTGATTGTTTGAAGGCACATAATGGGGTGTTGATGGAATGTTTACAAGAGCATAGAAACCTCTTCTCCAGGAGCAAATCTGTCCTTGCATAGAATCAACATCTCACATTCTGCTGAGTTTTCCGTTGAACTCTACATGGTGTTCTGAATTAATATTACACTTTCTGATTATATCAAATGTACATTACAATTAATGTACTTTGCAAGAGAACGTATCCTTTTTCTTAGCTGATAAATCTTCAAAAATGTCAAAAAAGTGGCAAGATACTGACAATTCATGATCACAATAAAGAAACTGGTCATAATCATATTTTACTACAATATCCTATATTCGAAGTTTTTAGCTTCATTTGTTTTTAATATTTTATTTCACAAGCTGTTGATGCTATATATTTATATTTTGGTCTAGGATCATTAAATAAATGTTGAACTTTCTTCTTTTACTTAGTCAGCAGGATATCTAAATTGCATACTTTTTCTTTAGATTTCACTCTACCTTTTCTGTTGTTGGCCAATCTTTCAAAAAGTATGGGAGGAGATTAGATGTTGTTATCATGGGTGTCCAGAACAATAGCTTACAGTGGGTCAAAAGTTTGCAAGTGATACAAATTACAGGCAATCTCTGACTTATAACTTTTGTTTAACAACAGTTCAAAGATACAATGGACCCCCAAAAGGAGACTTACAACCCAACACCAAAACCATTGTTTCAAAAGTCCGGCCCTACCACAGTCACCCAATACCATTTCAGACAAGTGGCTGTCCAGTCTCTTCTTAAAAAACTCCAGTGTTGGAGCAGTGACAACTTCTGGAGGCAAGTCGTGCCACTGTTAGGAAGTTTCTCCTTAGTTCTGAATTGCTTCTCTCTTTGATTAGTTTCCATCCGTTGTTCTTGCCTTGCCTTCTGTGCTTTGGAAAATAAGTTGACTCCCTCTTCTTTGTGGCAGCCTCTCAAATACTGGAATACTGCTATAATGTTACCACTAGTCTTTCTTTTCTCTAGATGGGGCATTGGTCCTACCTGAACGCTTCTTCTCGGGGAGCTGAAGGGAGAAACCAGGCCGGGTAGTCTCTAGTCTCCCAGCTCTGCAGACCGAATTGAAAAACTGAGGACACACCCCCGGGTAACGGTCCCCAGTTCTGAACGACGTTGAAGTGAATTCAGCTGCTCCTTGTCTTCAAACAGACAGTTCATTGATACTGCCGAAAAAAAGGGATATTTCCTCCCTATTCCGACCAGACAGAATACAGGGTGGGACTGGATTCTCCCTTCGGCTCCCCGAGAAGAAGCGTTCAGGTAGGACCAACGCCCCTTCTCCACTGAGCCGAAGGGAGAATCCAGGCTGGGACATACCAGAGCTGGCTGAAGGCTGTCCTATGGGTGGGAGCTGGATTGGTCGGAAGTCCCCACCTCTACATGCACACCCTGGAGGACTCGTCTTCCAAAGGATGCCTCCGCTGAGGCAAAGGAGTCAATTTTGTAATGTCTTATGAATGGGGTCACCGATGACCAGGTTGCAGCTCTACAAATGTCCAGAATCGATGCCTGCATTGCCCAGGCTGTGGTGGTTGCTGCAATTCTGGTTGAGTGCGCTGTGATCCTCCTGGGCACAGGAAGGTTCTGTAACTCATAGGCCCCTGCAATGCAGGCTCTGAGCCAGCGACCTACTGTGGAAGGTGTCACCCTGCGACCTAAAGTTGACGGCTGAAAGGAAACAAACAAGGCTTCCGTCCTCCTAAAAGAAGACGTTCTTTTAATGTAAATACGGAGGGCCCTCCTAATGTCCAAGGTGTGCCATTTTTTTTCTCTAGTGCATGGGTAGGCTCAGGGCAGAAATTAGGCAAAATCAACTCCTAGGAAAGATGGAATAAGGAGTTCACCTTGGGCAGGAAGGTAGGGTCCAACCGCAGAACCACCCTGTCTGCATGGAATACACACAGATCCTTCCTGATGGATAAGGCCGCCAACTCCGAAATACGCCTGGCCGAGGTAATGGCCACTAAGAATACCACCTTGCACGTGAGAAGGCGAAGGCAGACTTCACGTAAGGGTTCAAAGGGGGGAGAAGTTAGTGCCTGCAGGACCTTGGGCAAATCCCAGGTGGGGTAGCGGTGGACCACTGGTGGCCTCAGATTCGTGGCCCCCCTAAGGAAAGCTTTCACCCTAGGATGTTGGGACAGAGAAGTAGAGCCCTTGACCGAAATCACCAAGGTCAAGGCAGCCACCTGTCTCTTCAAGGTATTGGGGACGAGACCTTTATCCAACCCGTCCTGCAGGAACTCTAATACCTTTGCAACAGAAACTCCAGAGGGTTCCAATTGGTGACCAGCGCACCAACTGCAGAAAATCTTCCACGTTGCCTTATATATCCTGGTCATGGAAGGTCTTCTGGCTGCCTGGATGGTCTGAATGACCTTTGTGGAAAACTTCTCCCGTTTCAGGATTCCCCGCTCAAGCGCCAGGCGGTCAACCGAAACTAGGCTGGATCTGGGTGCTCGATTGGGCCCTGGCTGAGGTAGATCTTGTGTAGGGGAATTCTCCAGGGTCTGGCAACTGACAGGCCCATCAGGTCGGCGAACCAAGGACGCCTGGGCCAGTAAGATGCTACCAACAGAACTTCCGCCTTTACTATCAGTACTTTCCTGATTGCCCCTGGAATCAGGGGAACGGGGGGAAGGCATACAATAGTCCCTGGGGCCACCTGCACCGGAGAGCGTTGACCCCTTCTGCTCCTCGGGCAGGGAATTGAGCAAAGAACCTCGGGAGTTGCGTGTTCTCTGGTGATGCAAAGAGATCCAGAATCGGGCGGCCGAAGCGTTCCGTCATCTCCTGGAATAGACTGGGATGCAGTCGCCATTCTGACTGGTCGACTATGGCCCTGCTCAACCAGTCTGCCTGCACATTGGATACTCCTGAGATATGTTCTGCTCATAGGGACAACAGGTTTCTCTCCACCCACCTGCACAATTGAGTCGCTTCCTGCATTAGAGATCTACCTCTACCACTGGACCATCTACCTTTGGCACTTCCATAATGTCCAAAAGGTCTTTGTCCACATTAAATAAGATAGACTCAGACCCACTGGGGCGAGTGTACATCCCAGGGGACTCCCACTGCTTTTTGATCAGGTTGAGAAACATCTGGGGCACAGGTACAGCATCCACCACAAGATGCTTTCTCAGTGAACAGGAAATCCTCCTGATCCTCTCCCTCAGTGGGAAGGTCCTGAGTGACCGTGTCCTTTTTGAGATGAGCCATGTTCTTGGCCTTAACCAGCAGAGTCTTGAAAAGAGCCGGCTGGAAAAGGCCCTTAAAGGAGGGGGGACCTGCTACCTCCAACTCCTCATCTGAAAAATCCCTTTCTGGAAGGAGGTCCCTCTCGGAGCCATAAATTTGGCTGCTTTCTGAAGGGGAGGCTGAGCGCTCTCTGAAGTGGACCGGCTGTTCAGCAGAAGCCTGCCCCTGCCCCTGCAGGACTCCTGCTAGTTTCCAAATAAGACAGCTGGCGCAGCTGGTTGACCTCTGCCTGCAATTCCTGTCTTATTGTCTGGGATATCCAGGGTCTCAAGAAGGATGGCATTTCTTGCATCTGGGTCTCCCCCAGCCATAAGCCAGCTGCTGTAGGTGTAAAGGTGGCTGCAGGCACAGGTCTGGCTCCACTGGAGACTTGGTCTGCAGGTGGTGCCATCAAGATCCCCTGAGGCGGCTCAGAAAAATTGTGAGAGATCTCAGCCCTGATTTGGAGGTTACCCTGCAAATCGTGGGTACTTGAGCCCCCAGGAGAACAGGCCGTCATATACTGCCTATATACCAGTTGGTCTGACTGCCTATCTGCAAGTTGGTCTGGCTTCCTGTCATCTTGAGGAGGCAAAGTTTGAGGGGTGGCTCTGTATTCAGCCATCCTGGAATCTCTCACTGCCCTGTCAAACTGTTTGTCTATGGCCTTTTGTCTACGCCTGGCCTGTCTATCCTCAGCCCTAGAGGATCTCTTAGGGGCTAGAGCCCTGGCTCTAATCCTAGCTGCTGCCTCCAGACCAGCAGACCTGGGCTTAGGGGATCCCTTTACAGCCTTCTCTCTACCCTGCTGAGGAACTGACAATTCTTGATCAGCTCCCTTGGCGGCCATCTTTGAGCCCGCCAAAAATAACTGTCACTTGACAGGGGTAGAGAAAGGGAGAAAGGAGTAAGAATAAAAATAAAATAAAATAAAATAAAATAAAAATATTCAGCCTAAGCTGTCAGCTACAGCCACAGTAGCTGTCCACCACTTCAGGAGGCTAGTGCGACCCAAAGTGGTGAGCTCAGCCCAGCTCCGCAATTTCAAAGCCGAGTCAAGGAGAAAAAAAATGGCTGCCTCTTTGAATTGCAGCAAGCCCTGACAGGGCAGAGGCTTGCGAGCCTGGCGTTGGCTGCACCGCAACTGTCAGGCAGACTTAAGCATCTCGCAGCTGTCACGGTGCTCTGGGGACTGGATGGGGGGGGTCGGGATTTAATCCCGATGGCCAGAACCCCCCCACAAGGGACAATCCTGGAGACGAACTGCAAGATTGCCCCCGAATGAAATAAATGGCTGCTGCCGCCGGAAAGGGACAGAAGCGCTTAGCGGCAGCTGCGACTCGTCCAGGGCAAGGGAAAGTGGATCGGGAGGAGGCGAGTTCAATAAGACGCCGGCTCCCACCCCAGCCCGGGCCACACCGGCTCTCTGGGTCACCTCCACTCCAGTTTTGACAGGAAACAAAACAAAAAAAAACCAGTCCACCAGCAAGGAAAGTCAAAAATTAAAATAACAAGCAAAAACCGCGAACAGAAAAAAAGGTGCGAAAAAATGAAAGTGCTAAACCAGCAAACTGGCTAGCTGTCAAACCTGATCTAAGCCTCTCTGCGAAAAAAAGCTTAATCCAGGGGGTGAATATTCTTCTACAATCCTAACTATTCAGAGCCCTTAAAGGGAGGCCTGAACACACTGAGGCCGAGTGAAGAACTGGGGACCGTTACCAGGGGGTGTGTCCTCAGTTTTTCAACTCAGTCTGCAGAGCTAGGAGACTAGAGACTACCCAGCCTGGATTCTCCCTTCGGCTCAGTGGAGAGTGGCCTTACCCAATTCTTGCAACCGTTCTTCATATGTTTTTGCCTCCAGGCCCTTGATCATCTTAGTTGCTCTTTGCTCTTTGCATTTGCAGCTGTTTATAGTGTCCTACGGTCATTTGACCACTTTTTATGATGATTTTGCCAAAAACTGGCTATTTGGTTTTTGGCAAAACTGTGCCAATAGCAAACCACATAATGACTGCAGTGTTTGCTTTACAAGCAAGCACTATGTTTACATCATGAGTGCTGCCAAAAAGATTGCAAAATCAACAAGCCTTACAGCCATTACGACTTATGACTGTAATGGACTATGATCATATGTCCAGGTCTACCTGTATGTAGCTTGTGTCAATTGCGTCACGCATAATCCGCATCCTTTGTGTGATGGCATTGTGTGATGTCACTTTCCCTCTTTCCTTTCTTTGATGGGCGCCCATGTTTGGTACTGAGCTAATCTAGTGTCCTACAGATGGATTGTATTTCCATTTACAGATTTTCCCAGATGACCATCACTATGTGCCTATCCACTTAGCCCTTCAGGACCTGCCTGGCCTAACTGAAATTTTCTTTTTCACAGTTTTCTCCCCCACTCCAATCCTTTTGTGTATGAGACACTTACCTACTTGTTTTCTGCAAATGACAGGTGTTTAAACTGTCCCTTTGTCATATGCATGGGTTGTATCTTCAACTCTCCTGCCCCCCCCCCCAATTGTTTTTTTTTGTTTGTTTAATCGCTGGTATTCTAAAACAGTGTTTCTTAATTTGGGGCTGTTAATTAAGAAAAATCTCTGTACAACTTTTGGCTTGAACTTGAATTGGAGAAATAGGAAAAGAGGAGTCTAGACCACATTTTGTTTCTAGTTGTGATTTTTGCAGGAAATATATGTTCAGAACCACCGTTCGTGTGTGTGTGTGTGTGTGTGTGTGTATGTATGTAGGTCTTTGAATCAATTTTTGACTCCTGCTGTTTCCCTGGCAAAGCTTTTCGAAAGTGGTTTGCCATTGCCTGCTTCCTAGGATTGAGAAACAGTGTCCCAAGGTTACCCAGCTACTTTGTGCCTCAGGCAGAACTAGAACTCCCAGTCTCCTGGTTTATATTTTGGTTTGCCTTAACCATTACACCAAACTGGCTCTCCTATTTATCTGAGTTCAAACCCCTTAGAGCTCAAGGCTTCCCTAGACAACTTTTTGAGTTGTCAAAAAGCTCTGAAATGCCAGCTGAATCTGTGCTTGGAAAAGCTCCTTAAAACCCAGATACTACTCTACTGCTTATTTCTATGCTGTGAACAGTTTGGTTTCTGATATTTGCCCACATCATTAAAGGCAAAACAACAGGCAAATTATTATTTTTTCTATGTAATTGGCAATCTAAAAACACTCATTATTCATGTGTTTTTTCATCTTGCCTGAAGCCAAAATGATTTTTATTACTATTTTTATTTTAAATTAAATAGTAACAGAAAAAAACCACAAACAAAATTATGATGCAAATACATACATTCTCAAGAAAAAACAACACTGCATAAAAAGTCCTTTTAAAAAGAGTGGAAAAAGAAACAAAGTATAATATATCATTATAACAGTCAACTGTTACAATTCTATATGCTGTATATTTATCTAATATAAATATTATTCAAGTGTGTGTGTATTTGTAATATACAGGTGAAACTCAAAAAATTAGAATATTGTGCAAAAGTTCGTTTATTTCAGTAATGCAACTTAAAAGGTGAAACCAATATATGAGATAGATTGCATGCAAAGCAAGATAGTTCAAGCCATGATTTGTCATAATTGAGATGATTATGGCTTACAGCTCATGAAAACCCCAAATCCACAATCTCAGAAAATTAGAATATTACATGCAATCAATAAAACAAGGATTGTACATAGAACAATATCGGACCTCTGAAAAATATAAGCATGCATATGTACTCAGGACTTGGTTTGGGCCCCTTTTGCAGCAATTACTGCCTCAATGTGATGTGGCATGGAAGCTATCAGCCTGTGGCACTGCTGAGGTGTTATGGAAGACCAGGATGCTTCAATAGCGGCCTTCAGCTCTTCTGCATTGTTCGGTCTCATGTCTCTCATCTTTCTCTTGGCAATGCCCCATAGATTCTCTATGGGGTTCAAGTCAGGCGAGTTTGCTGGCCAATCAAGCACAGTAATCCCACGGTCATTGAACCAGGTTTTGATGCTTTTGGCAGTGGGCAGGTGCCAAGCTCATCTGCGGAAGGAAGCATGAAGTGCTCCAAAATCTCCTGGTAGACGGCTGCGTTGACCCTGGACTTAAGGAAACACAGTGGACCAACACCAGCAGATGACATGGCTCCCCAAATCAACACAGACTGTGGAAACTTCACACTGTGTTAGGTATAACATTGATACCAAATATGGTTTGAGTGAATAAATATATAAAACTTAGATATCATGGTTTAAGTGCTTATCACTTTAAGCACAATGCTGCAGGCAATTAGCCGATTAAGGGTGCGGTTAGAAGTTACAATATAAGGAAGCATTAGAAGCTGGAAAGCTTACTGCGACTAACTGTGTGTTACTGCGACTAACTGTGTGTTACTGCGACTAACTGTGATTACTGATTGTGAGTGCCTGTGACTGAACTGTTCTTGTTTGCTACTGTTTTGCTGATTTACTGCGTAATTCTACTGTTCTACTGTTTGAACTTCTTGCTGAATATCCAGCGTTTGTTCCTCTGGAGAGAGGCACCGGAGGAGGAG